CCAACATCTCAATAACAGGTCCCCTGTAGCTCAGCTGGTAGAGCACGGCGCTCGGTCCTCTGGAGCTCAGCTGGTAGAGCACGGCGCTCGGTCCTCTGGAGCTCAGCTGGTAGAGCACGGCGCTCGGTCCTCTGGAGCTCAGCTGGTAGAGCACGGCGCTTGGTCCTCTGTAGCTCAGCTGGTAGAGCACGGCGCTTGGTCCTCTGTAGCTCAGCTGGTAGAGCACGGCGCTTGGTCCTCTGTAGCTCAGCTGGTAGAGCACGGCGCTTGGTCCTCTGTAGCTCAGCTGGTAGAGCACGGCGCTTGGTCCTCTGTAGCTCAGCTGGTAGAGCACGGCACTTGGTCCTCTGTAGCTCAGCTGGTAGAGCACGGCGCTTGGTCCTCTGTAGCTCAGCTGGTAGAGCACGGCGCTTGTAACGCCGGGGTAGTGGGTTCGATCCCCGGGACCACCCATACGTAAAAAACGAATGCACACATGACTGTAAGTCGCTTTGGATAAAAGCGTCTGCTAAATGGCATATTATTATTATTATTACTATAATAAATACATCATTAATACAATATTAGACCATGACAATCAGCTAGATAGCCTAAACAATTCAAAACTAAAAGTCCCAATAAAAGTCTGCCATCCTCCTGAGTAGACCTGCCCTGCACAGGTTTCCCCACAGACGGGCTCTAACCTGCCTTCTAAAAACAGATTGGGACTGGGACAGATAAACGACTAACGGGAGGTTATTCCACTATAAAAACAAAGAGGTCTGTGCCCACCGCTGGCTCTAGTATTGTGGCTAAACTGTACCGTACGCTGCATGTATTTACTGTCTGTGTGTTCAAGGACACGGGGGGGGGCAGTACCGGGGTTAAGTTTCAGCCGTGATGCTCTTTGTTCTACTAGAAACATTCCAGCAGAGAGATCTGATATATGACACTGTTAGGGTACTAGGGCAGGGCAAAGGTTGTACACCAAATCCCTACTATCTCTTGACTAGATGTGTTATCTGCATTATCCCTGGGGGTCCAGGACACACACGTGTGTGTGTGTGTGTGTGTGTGTGTGTGTGTGTGTGTGTGTGTGTGTGTGTGTGTGTGTCCAGTCTGGTCTTCATTAGAGCCATGTGGTGTATTTAAAAAGTAGGTCGTTCCCCCCTAGGTCAGGGAGGGGTTTGGTTGGTGGAATGTTTGGTTTTGTTTGGTTGGTGGAATGTTTGGTTTGGTTGGTGGAATGTTTGGTTTGGTTTGGTTGGTTGAATGTTTGGTTTGGTTGGTGGAATGTTTGGTTTGGTTTGGTTGGTGGAATGTTTGGTTTGGTTTGGTTGGTGGAATGTTTGGTTTGGTTTGGTTGGTGGAATGTTTGGTTTGGTTGCTGGAAGGTTAAGGGGGCCATAAGTTAACCCAGTGTTTCTTCAACCTCTCCTCAGGGACCCCCAGCCGTTCCATATCCCTAACCCAGTGTTTCCCCAACCTCTCCTGAGGGACCCCCAGCCGTTCCATATCCCTAACCCAGTGTTTCCCCAACCTCTCCTGAGGGACCCCCAGTCGTTCCATATCCCTAACCCAGTGTTTCCCCAACCTCTCCTCAGGGACCCCCAGCCGTTCCATATCCCTAACCCAGTGTTTCCCCAACCTCTCCTGAGGGACCCCCAGCCGTTCCATATCCCTAACCCAGTGTTTCCCCAACCTCTCCTCAGGGACCCCCAGCCGTTCCATATCCCTAACCCAGTGTTTCCCCAACCTCTCCTCAGGGACCCCCAGCCGTTCCATATCCCTAACCCAGTGTTTCCCCAACCTCTCCTCAGGGACCCCCAGCCGTTCCTTGTTTTATAATTATTCCACAGCTACCACACCTGATTCAACTCGTCAACTAATCATCAAGGGTAGCTGAATCAGGTGAGATAGTTCAGGGCTACAACAAAGCATTGCGAAACGTCTGGGGGGTTCCTATTGGAGAGGTTTGAAAACCAGTGCGTTGGGGCATTGGGTTACACTGTTCAAATGTCTGTTTACTCTGCTTGTCATGTCGTTTCCATCCACATATTACTGCTACTTGTACTCAACTCCTCACAACTAAAGTATTCACCTCTCCATCACCTGTAGAACCCTGACAACACTCACCTGGTCACAAGACTGTTTAATTTAAACTGCCCTGGGGCAAAGTTCAAAGTGGGAATATTAAAACCACAAAGGAAGCCGTATACTCATGGTGAGTGTAACGTTAAGATCCTTCCCCCCTGCCATGCCTCCTGGTAGAATTCCCCACGCTCCCCCCTAACACAAACCCTCTGCCTCTCAGACACAAGGTATTTTGGGAATGTGAGCAGGTCGTAACCCACAATATATTCTGGATTAATCTGGATTAGCCTTATTCATCTGAATGTTAAATGATCATGGTTAGAATACTCTTTCATTTGGCCGTTGTATTTTTGTATTTCCAGCTTTTGTTCATTTGCTGGTACAGTATTTTCTAGACAGACATGCATGAAATGTAGTATTTTAACCCCAACATTGAACAGATTGTGAACTATTTATAATAATAACCATGTAATTTCCATCATTAAAGCATTTCCACTGGGCACAAACTGGTCAATTTAACGTTATTTCAATGCAATTTGTCCTCGTATTGTGATGTGGAATCTATGTGGAAAATACATTGGATTTGAAAACATAAATGTTGTTTTGAGGCTGAAATCTCAACCACAGGATTATGTCATCATGGTAACCCATTTTCAACCTTGTATGTAATATGTTGAATTTGTACTTTTGAAACAATGTCAGATCTTCAATGTAATATCCACTATAAGAAAAAAATACACTATGCAGCACCTCCTACTGGAGAGTTGATCTATCTACAGCCACCCTTCGGTCTCCCATGCATCACCCCCTGCTGGAGAGTTGATATATCTACAGCTACCCTTTGGTCTCCCATGTAGCACCTCCTACTGTGGTCCTCTGTAGCTCAACTGGTAGAGCACGGCGCTTGTAACGCCAAGGTAGTGGGTTCGATCCCCGGGACCACCCATACACAAAAATGTATGCACGCACGACTGTAAGTCGCTTTGGATAAAAGCGTCTGCTAAATGGCATATTATTATTATTGATATATCTACAGCTACCCTTCGGTCTCCCAAGCAGCACCCCCTGCTGGAGAGAGGATCTATCTACAGCTACCCTTCGGTCTCCCATGCAGCACCCCCTGCTGGAGAGTTGATATATCTACAGCTACCCTTCGGTCTCCCATGCAGCACCCCCTGCTGGAGAGAGGATCTATCTACAGCTACCCTTCGGTCTCCCATGCAGCACCCCCTGCTGGAGAGTTGATCTATCTACAGCCACCCTTTGGTCTCCCATGATGCACCTCCTACTGGAGAGAGGATCTATCTACAGCTACCCTTCGGTCTCCCATGCAGCACCCCCTACTGGAGAGTTGATCTATCTACAGCTACACTTCGGTCTGTCATCCAGGGTTTTAACCAAGCCCGTCCATGCTTAGCTTTGATATTTGTCACTGACCATTACCAATGTGCTATTGTGAGAATGACTGTTGAGAAATCTCCACTTAATAGGCTCTATGCACGCATCACTTCCGCATTGGCGTCAGGATGATTGGGCATTTCCGGTTACCGGGAAAAAAAACATTAGACAGTGACAGTAGACCGTTATGATGGCAGAGATGACGTTTACAAGGTGTTTGCTGGAGTTGCCTAAAGTATCTGTTAATGATATACGGAGGGTCGTCCGGACATCCAGTACGACACCACGTAGCGAACTGGATAAAGGCTTCACATTTTACGTTTCTTATTTTCTTTGCAACTTTGAAGGTAATATGCTAACGCTAGCTAGCCTGAGCTAGAAGCCTTGCTTTGGTGTTTTAAGTCATGACTCCGTCCTGCTTCAGGTTAATCATGCTTTAAATAAAGTTGAATCGTGTGTATATACCTCTCACTTCATGTGTTTTGTACTTTTATGAAAGTATCAGGTAAAAACAGGGCTCCAAATGAGATCTCTGTGAGAGCCCACTGCTACCGCTCAATGAAGAACCTAAAGCCACCACACCAGCTGAGAGTAGGACTAGATTAAGGGACACGTTCAAAGTTCTGTTGAACTTGTTCAAGGTTCCGTTCAACACATGTTTTTACTCGTTTAATGTTGTTCCCACAGCTTTGATTGCCATTGCTAAGAGAACACTTTAGAACTTTAGTGGTTTTCCACGATAGCTGAACAGTGGTAGCCTAATACAGACTAGGGTAGCGGAGTGGGAATTGCCATGCTTTGTTGTTGGGTCTGTTGTAAACAAATTGGAGTTTGGTTTGAAATGTAAACAATAATGAGATGACTACTTTTTCCTGACTTGATGACTGCAATGACAGTAACATATTCCACTCAGCTATTCTTCAAACTGCTGAGGTTCTACTCAAAACTGTCCTGTCATCTTTACTTCTTTCTTTATGAACATATGGCCCAACTTCCTTGCTTTTGTACTTGATGTTTCTACTTTTCAAGAGGAATTAGGAGCAACACCTTCCCTCTACTGTTGTTATTGGTACCAGGCTACAATGTTGCACCGCTCACCTACTGCTCTGCCAATACTGTTTGAAGGAAGGTAAATGGCACAAGACAACAGGTAAGTGGTGGGAGACAGTAGGAAAGTGATGCAGAAAGCACAAAAGTGACACGAGACAGTAGATAAGTTGCTTACACCAGTAAAAAGTAGAAAGAACAAGTTTTGCTCCTACTCCTGCTGCTGTAGACCCTCGTCTTTCCAAACCCATTAAATGATGCTTCTGTCTATTTCAGATGACATTGCGTGATTCACAGCCAGTTGTGCTGCTGTTAAAATCTACTGTTCCTGTGTGGCTGGGGTGTGGGATATGCAATCATTTGGTTGCATTACTATATCAGACTGCCCATTACCCTGAATGTGGCGTGTCTGTCGTCCCTCCTGTATCTTTCGTGCACTGAAACAGAGCAGAAGTGGCATAAACCACCAACAATGGTTTGTATCATTTCAATACCAGACAGTTGTGTGTCACATGCATACTAGCATCTCTCCTAATACCATCTCATAAATAAAACAGGGAGGGAAGCCAGGACCTGTGGATGCCATGGTTGTAGTGAAGCCCAAACCAGATGCTACTCCGGCAAGCGGAATTAGGTATGCAGAGTCCAATTAAATAGGCAGACCTACAATGTGTTGCGAAATAAATGTTATTAATCGCTGTTAGATTCTGGTGTATTTCCTAGTGAAGCCTTTACTTTTCCTGATATTGTTATTCCAGATCTACACTTTACAAGGGCTACAGCGGTGAGCTACCAGACCCATCAACCCTCAACCCACTTCCTGCCTATGCTGACATGGAACCAGACTCTCTTCCCCTTATCTGCAGAATGAACATCACATCTGACAAACCACTCGTGGACTCAACACCCACCTCCTCCACCTGACGGTGTTGTCATCCATGAGGATGCACCACCGTTCCCGAAAAGTGCCACTGGACGGTTACCATTTACAACCAACAGACTGTTCAAATGAGATCGTGACGGATCAAGAAAAGCTTCACCTCAGTTCTCTGTGTGTGACTTTGTCTCAGTCACACCTGATTGAGGAAGCAACCAGATGCCGAAGTGAAACACCCGAGTGGTTCTGACATCAGTCACTGAGGAAGGAGAGAGTGGCTGCTTCACATTTCCGGGAGGTAAGCCGTGTTAGAGGTACAAGCACAGCAGAAAAACTGGCAGAAAGAATTATCAGAGGGACAAGACAAACACCACTAATGAAAAGGGGGCTGGAAATGGAAGCAGGTGCGTTGAAGGACTATGCAGTTCTAAAAAAATCTTTAATCTGACAAAGTGTGGGCTAGTCGTGCATCCGGACGCACCTTGGCTGGGTGCATCGCCTGATGGGGTGACCCACTTGAGCCACCATCATTTGGTCTAGTTGAAATGAAATACCCAAATGTAGCCAGCTACATAGACTGCATTTGCCGAGACAGCACTGTATTAAGCTCCCTGAAAGAGAGATGTGATTTGTTTTTCTTTAATACATACATGTCAAAATACCTCTCTATGAAAAGTAACTGAACAGACACATTAATTATTGTACAATCATTTAAAAATGTATTTTGTCAACTGTCTTATTTACAACATTGTAATATTAAAGGGGCGCTATGCAGTTTTGGTCATTTCTTCGCTTTTTTCTCTATAGAGCTCCCCCTACATATAGATATTTTGCAGCTCCTATGTTTACTTGTGTCTGACTCCTCTTTCTCTGTTCCTCCGACAATGCTTTCCTAACTTTCTGCTTCTTTTTGGCCGGCTCAGCCATGACGATAGTGTGAAAAACTCCATCGCTACCTTGTTAGCCGGTTCCTGAATGGGCGTATGTGTGCAGTGCTGTGAAGCAATTCATTACATCGCGAAACCTGATGTCACACGATACTTCCTGACGCTGTGGACGGCGGCTCGCCGGCCGAAAGTTGCAAGGGTGGGTTTTCCGCTCACAGGGGCTACGGGGAAGGGACACGACCACCATTCAACTCGAAAAATGTCATAGAACCATTCCAATGACTCCGAAACTGTTCAGTTAAGGTAAATTAAGCTAAAAAAGCTGCATAGTTCCCCCTTTAATTGTCACATATACAAATTGTAACATATCAAATTATAACATACAAATACTGAGACTTTCTTGTTTGCACTCTTAACTTTTATTTTTCTCTATCCTAATTTCTTTATTATTTATGCTTTGGTTTCGCACTGTGTGCTTTAATTCTGTTTTTCTGTACTGAATATTGTATGTAAACAGATGAATAGTTGTAACTTTATTGTTACCGTTCTAAAAAAGTGAGCGCTGACTTGACTAATTTACTGTCTGTCCGATAATCTGTGGCTCAATAAAAACATTTTTGAAAAAAAAAAAGACATGAATTTCATAACATATTTCATCACAGCCTATTTGTTCCATAGCCATCCATGAGTGTTCATTTTAGGATTGTGCTGCCAACATTAGCCATTGGTTGCCCAGGCTTTAACCAAGGGCCCATTTTGATAATTGACCAAAAGACAGGCAACTGTGTAAAGTTGATTGATGCTGCCCGTCAATGAAAGAGGGATCACTGTACTGAATAATTGATGTTCCTTAACCCTGCGAATGAGCCGCTCAATATGGACTCTCAGTCTGGCAATAGATTGGGTCTTCCTGACCTCTGGCTCAGACAGTTGTGCTCTCTTACACAGAAAGGTAGGTATGATTTTTGGTCTCTTAGCATCACGGTCTAGCAAGGACGCTTGTACTATATCGCCAAGTATGGGTTGATAACCGCATACACAATGTATGCAGAATCTGACTGTAATCGCTTGGACTTCAAAGAGCTGCTAAATGGCTTCTATGTGGCTTGCAGGGCCACGTCTTCTACAAGGAAACCCTTGTAACATTATGGCAAGTGGTTTAAGTACAGCAACATTGCAACTCTTATCATCAAGAGAGCGACACAAAGCGTTACTTCCGTTTTGAAGGGCATCCCTTATCTGTAAATGTTACAGTCATCGTGTATAGTGACAGTATCAAGTAAAATCAATTCAAATAGAAATGCAAATATAATTACTTAACAATCATATAATGTCATTTCGGATTTTGTTTTAGATCAGTCATCTCACATGTTGCAAGTGTACCGGGTTCTAGATAAAAATAGACTCTACATCTTGGATTAGGAATACCTCAAATCGGCAGTGTATCAAATACTTGTTCTCCCCACTGTGTAGTTCGAGAACACCTCACTCAGCAGTGATGGCTGGAAGAGCTGTCATCCCGTTTTTGAAAGGACCCTTTCGTACGTTTACACGTCATCGTGTTATAAGTCAAGACGAAGTATTACAAGTAAAAACATTATCATAAACATTAAGATAAACAACAACAACAACAACAACGACGGAAATGAACCGTTTCGGATGTTTTTGACGACAAGCATTCAATGCTAGCATACGGTAGCACGGCGTTCTACGATAAACGGAAGTTTACATCCATCCTGAGATTTAACCGGAAATACGTCATCCTCGCCTGTCACCTATAGGTTCACTGTTGCTATCAAAGTCATTCCAAAGGGTAGGTTGAACAGAGCAAATGAAATGCATCCATACTTTATCAATCATATATCATCAATGATGCTATTTAGGCCTGTAGAACATTAGGGAAGTCATCCACAGCTATTGTTTCAATTCAACCCAAGGGTTCAACTAAAAATAGACAGTACTTCTAGGCCGAGGGTTTCAAGCTTTGGTTGATTTCAAATTGAAATCTACAAGTTAATAATAAATGTTGTATTCACATATTCATTTCAACCAAAAATCAAAGTTAAAGACTATGACTAAATCAAATCAAACTGTATTTAAAGTGCATTTAAAGTTTGATTTGATTTAGTTATTTTAATTAGATTTTTTGGTTGAAATAGAGGTGTGAATCCAACATATCAATTATTAATTTGTAGACAAACTTGAATTAAAGTCAGACTCAGTGGCACAGACGGAGCTATCCAAGGATACATCTCCTTCCAACGTTGATATTTGGTTGCGCTGACAACCAAACACAATTCAATATCACTTTTGCAAATACAGTAAATAGCCTATTAACCTGCCGATCACTTAACAAATCATATGTTGGATTCAGGTCCCCAACTCAACCAAAAATAAAAGTTCAAGAATACAGCAATAGAGTTTAGGCTGTCTCCCAAACGAACGTAACAGTATTTATTCAACAGTATTTATTCAACAGTATTTATTCAACAGTATTTATTCAACAGTATTTATTCAACTTCAAAATGAGTAAAACATCCCTTGCCAAATTTTGAGGCTACTGTAACATTAAATGTCTTCTTATGTAATCATAGAAAGCGTGCATGTTCAAGATAGCATGGTCTGTGGAGATCTTCATAATTGCCATAATAATCTGCGCAGAATATCAAACAGCATTAACCCTAACCCTAACCCTAACCCTAACCCTAACCCTAACCCATTGACCCTAGCCCTAACCCTAACCCTAACCCTAACCCTAACCCTAACCACTAACCCTAACCCTAACCCTAACCCTAACCCTAACCCTAACCACTAACCCTAACCCTAACCCTAACCCATACACTTAAATAATTTCAATTGCAATCTAGGTCATTTGGTTGTGCTATTAGATTAAGAACAGTGATAACACATTAAGTTGTTGTATAAATAAACAAAATATCTGACATTGTATTCCCCATTGGAACTTTGTTGTACATTTTAAATGGTTGAAAGCACAGTGATAACACATTTAGGTGACAATTAAACCAAAAATCAGACATTGATTTTCCATCGGAATTTGGTTGTGCTTATAGATGGTTGAAAGCACGGTGATATCACATTGGGAATTCAACAAACTTTTGACTGTCTTTTTGAGTGCGTGAAAATAGGTTGGAATCTCATTGATGTCAACCAAATATTACCCACTTCTCCACGTTGAAAATGACGTGGTCTGCCCAGTGGGTTGGGGCAACAATCAGGCTGTCTGGCTTCTGTTAGCTTCACATTCATGACTTAAACAGATTCAGAACATTCAGTTTCTCTCTAGCCATAACAGTTCTAACTGACCTTTGTCCTGAGCCCACATTTTTATGGGCTATAAAGATGCTTATTTGTTGTGTCAATCTATAAGGTAAGCGACAAATTGCAGCTGTCCCTGATCTTGTTCGGTCCGGCCGTCGCGCCGAGTGACTAGAGATCCTTGTTCGGTCCAGCTCTGGACGTACGGAGATTAGTCAGGCTCTGTCGGCCGGAACGGGGAGATGGCGAGTCAGGCTCGTGCAGCGACGTGACCGGGAGACCTTGTTGATCCAGGCTGTGACTGACGGGAGACACTGGTTCGGTAGGCTCTGTCGCGCCGGAAGTGACTAATCCTTGTCGAGAGGCTCTGCGCAAGACCGGAGACCTGTCGAGTCCAGCTCTGTCGCAGCGGACGTGAGAGACCTTGGTCGATCAGGCTCTGTCGCATCCGGACGGACGGGGACCTTGGTGGTCCAGGCTCTGTCGCAGCCGGACGTGACTAGAATCCTTGGTTCGGTCCGCTCTGTCGCAGCGACCCGGAGCCCTTGGTTCGAGTCCAGGCTCTGTCGCAGCCGGACGTGACCGGGAGACCCAGGTTGGTCCGGTCCAGCCGACGTGAAGTGGGCGGCGCAATGGTCCAGCGTCGTCCAAGGTAGGGGAGGGTTTTGCCGGCAGGGATGTGTGTTCGTTTCCCACGGGGGGCCAGTATGAAAAAAATAAAAAAAACATTCACTAACTGTAAGTCGCTCTGGATAAGAGCGTCTGCTAAAATGTAAATGTAAGGGCCTCATGTTAACGGCAGGTATAAACAGGGCTTCAGATGTACTTGATCAGATCTAGGTCAATAGGAATCCTTCTGTTCAGGAACTATCTCCTCTCATTAAGATGTCTCCTATATATACAGTGCCTTCGGAAAGTATTCAGACCT